AAAATTAATCTAAAACTATTATTCCTAAAAGAAGTACCTATATACAAGAAGAATAATTATAAAATTATTATTAATTTTATATAAATTATTTTATAGTTTACAGACTAGCTGATTAGCTATTAATTTTAAAAAATTAATATTAATTTGATTTAATTTCTAATCTATCAAAATATTAATATTAGAATAATAAGATTAAAGAGCTACTGATTAGATATTATTCTAAAAAAATCCTAATTATATATATATATATCCTGTCCAGATATAGATATTATATTAATAAATAATATTAATATTATTATATTTTATATTATATTAGTATTTACAAAGATAATTAATAAAATAATTTTTAAAAAATAAATTATAGAGTAATCCTGTCCAGAATATATTAATGATATCAAATAAATAAAAAACAAATAAAATAAATATAAAGATAATATAAATATATATATTTGAAGAAAAATAAAAAGAGATTAGATATAAATTAATATTTAAAAAGTTAGATAATTACTACAGTATTAAAACTTATATATTATAAATAAATTAGAAAAAATAGATCGGTATAAACATTCTGATAATTAATTAAATTCATATTTTTACCTGCTCTATGAGATTCCAGTAACATATTAAATAATATTTTAATCAATAATTTAAAGAAAAAAGCTGGATTATTTTAAAAAATATTTCTTTAAGATTAATATTACTGATCTGAGTAATATTATAAAATTTTATTATTTATTAGTATTATATATATTATAGATTGTTTTTATAAAAAATCTAGGTTAGATAATATTCTAAATCTAATTTTGTAGTAAGTATTATTTAGAGTGGTTAACGGCCAGGGTAGGGTAGGTTAATGGGAAAATCTATACCTTCCGTCAGGTTAACGGTTAGGTATAAAATATATATATACCTAACCTAGGTTAACCGCGGTTAACCTGATTTGCCGATCTTTTCTTATCTAGGAAAGCGGTAAAGTCTAGCAATAAATTTCTGTCTAATTTCTGCCTGATTTACGCCTCAGCTAGCCTAATGTAGTTAGACTGATGCCTGAATATACCTGATTTCTGCCTGATCAGGTATAACGGTTAACCGCGGTTAACTGTTATACCTGACGGTTAATAGATTTTTATACCTTAACCTAACCGTCAGGTTACGGTTAAGGTTAGGTTAAGGTATAACGGTTAGGTATAACCACTCTAGTATTATTTTAAATATATATTATTAAAAATATTTAATATATATTTAAATTACAGGTACTACTTTGTTTAACTTGAAATATTAAATATAACTATACTATAAGAGTTAAGTAAAAATAACTATATAAATTTAAAGAATTATTATTTTATAATTTAACATATAATTAGTAAGGTTTTTAGATCTAATATTACTATATCTTTCAATTATTTAATAATATATTATAAATTTATATTATAAAAATATATAAAAAAACAGCAGAAATATTTTTATAAATATATATTAAATTTTAATTTGAAAAAGATCCACGCTGCCTGATGAAATAAATATTTTATTATATTTTTTTAATTTTTAATATATTGAGAATTTATAATAATATTTTATATTTTTATTTATTATATAATCCTTAAAGGCAGCGGATATCTTTAGTACTTATTAATTAAATTTAAAATTTTCTTAATAATTAATATGTACTTATCATTCATTATACTGGAAAATATTTTTAAAAAATATTAAATTATAATTAATTTTCTGTAGAGCTTTTTATTATCTTTTATATTATATTTTTATAATATTAATCTGTTTAGCAATAATAATAAAAATCTTTTTTAATTAGGTATATAAATAAAATTTATATTTATATCTAGAGTTATATTATTCAAGATAATTATTCCTAATTTTAATATATATATAAATATGCCGCGCAGTAGAAATAAATATATATATTTAAATTTTTACTTATTAAATATAGTTTGATCTATCTAAGTCAATAATATAACTTTATATTTATTATTTATATTTCCGGATTTTAAAACTTAATTAATTATTTTATTTATAATATATTAAATTTAAATTTATGAAGAAAATTTATCATTTTAAAATTTATCTTAATTTCAATCTGTCAGGAAAGATCTATTTAAAATAATTATTTTAGTTTTTATTCTGTCTTTAATTACTAGTTTAATATAAAATGTATTTATTTTAAGTCTTTAATATATATATATTCTAATTATATTTATCTAGTTTTTTTACAGCTGCTTTATAAGGCTTATATAAAATATAAAATATTTTTAAAATTAATATTTAATATTATTAAAATTATCGTAATATCTAGTACTATATATTTATTAAATTATAAAAATCCTTTATATAATATTTTATATAACTCTTAAGATCTGTTTTTATATTATATTTCTTTATTTTATTTTTCAGTAAGCTACTAACGACAACTGCTTATAGATTTTGATATTATCTTATTAAATATTTTATAATATATATAATTAATAATTAATAATTAATCATAAAAAATAATTCAATAAAATCTAATACTCTTCCCCCTGTAGAAACTTGTAATAAATTTTATTTAATTTTTAAATAAAGATCCAGTGAACTTATATAATCTTAAAATTATTAATTTTATATTAGTTCTTTCTTAGTAAAGCCTATCATATATAAAAATTATAGATTTAAGAAAGGCAGTACTTAAATAGTATTAATAATTTAATATAATTAATCTATTTTATATTTATACAGACAGCAGTAATTATAAAAATAATATTAAAATAATAATAAATATAGAATTTTATATTATCAGTTATCCTGTAAGCTTTGATATAATATATATAATATATATTTAACAATCCCTTGTCTTTATTAAATAACTATATTTTATAAATTTTATAAATAATTATAATTTTCTTATCTTACTAACCTCTGTGCCCTCAGAAATATATAATATAATTATTTTTATTAATAATTAGATTATTATCTAGATCTGTATTAATCTCTTTAACTATTACTAGTTAAATTAATATATTCTATTGTGATAGAACAGATCGGTGAACCGGCTGACCGCAGCCAAAGGCATCGGAATGATGTATTATAAGAGTCATCAGGATCGTGAGGTCATTGACAGTGATTCTCGAGTATTTTATTCAGTATATAGTAGTAATCCTCATTGATCTACTATTAATTTCTAAGAGATTAGTCTACTTCGTGGATATAAACTATCTTATTATTATTTTATAAATCTATAGTATTTTATAGTAGATTCCTTACCTGGTCAACAGGCTTTCTATTTTAATAAATAAATTTTATTATATTCTAATCTCTTTAACTTTAATTATCTAAGAAAGATACCATTTTTAAAGACAGTTCTGAACTAGAGATAAACTATAAATAAACTAATTCTGAATAATCTTCTGTTATTATTTTTATTATTAAAAAAATACAGTTACTTCAGAATCAGGTTTACTGATTTAAAGAGATAAATACTCTGAAATAAAGAATTATTTATTTATAAAGAAATTAATTTCTTATTAAATTATCTATAAAATCTTCTTAATTATTATTTAAACTGTTCTCAAACTAAAACAAGAATAAGATTAAATTTAAAAATATTTTTTAATTTATTTTATATTTTAATCTTCAGAAGTACTAGAAATAAATTATTAATTTAGAATATCTATTCCAGAATACTCTCAAGAAGTATATTACTAAGAAATAAAAAATAATTATTATTATTATATATATAGATTAATCCTGTAGACAGAGATAGTATTAATATATTAATAAAAACTTTTTTAAAAAAAAATAAAATCTTAAGACTTCATAGTCCAGATTTATTAAATAAATTCTTAATTTTATTAAGGATACTGTTATCCTGCAGTTTAATAATATAATTTAAATAAAATATATTTATTAATAATATAGTTAAGACTTACAGAAGTTTTATATTTATCTTAATATATTAAAGTTATATTTTTTCTATTAAAGAGAAAAGGAACAGGCTCTACTTTATTTTATTAAATTATTTTCTAATTTTAATTAATATATTTATAAATATATTTTCTATCTCTCTGAATAACAAGATAATATAGTAATATTAATTATATATTATTATAAATTCTAAGAAAATTAAAAATAAAAATAAAGTAATATCTTTCCTGTTAAGCTATTTTTTAAATAATTAAATAAAAATTAATCTCTTCTGCTGCAGGAGAAAATGCTACTAAATTAATATTAAAATCTTATTAAAAAAAAGAAAATTTATTTAAATACTTTATATATAATAATACTGAATATCTTATAAATTAATACCCCCGGAAGAGTCAGAAGATTTAATTAATAAGAATATCTTAATATTCTATTAATCTAAAGAAAAAAGTAGAAGAATTAAAATAATTCTTATAATTTTAATTTTATTATCTGAAGTAAAGATTATATATTATTTTTATATTTTTATCTATATTTAAAAAGTCCTCGAAATCTTTACAGATCTTAATAATTATGCGGAAGTAGATATTATCAGTTATTAATTTATTAAGATTTATTATTTTTAATATATATCTGTTACAGTTTCTAAAATTAAGATTATTAATTAAATTTTTATTTTTATTTATAAAATATAAAAAATATCTATTACTGTTATAGATTTACAGGATACTATCTGTATTTTTAAATATTATTATATAGAAATTAATAAAGATCTAAAACTTTAGAATAATCTTATATTATTATTAATGACTACTCTTTAAGATCTGTATATTAATTTATTATTATAAAATTATTAATAATAATTTTATATATTTTTTATCTCTTTTCTTTCAGCTATTTAATTTGCTAAGGAATCTTGTGATTATATATAAATATATATTATAATTAAATTTTTTATAAATATTTAATTACTAGAAAAGAAGAATAATAATAAGTCTTTTAAATCTAATATAATTCTTATTAAATTATAGTTATTCTAAGATATATTCTTTATAAATTTTTTATAATAACTTCTTTCTTAAAGACCAGTAAATCATGCTATTAATTTTAAATTTAAAGAATTATTTTTATATAGTCTGATTTATCCTCTTTTAAAAATAGAATTAAAATTTTTTAAAAAGTATATTAATAAAAATCTTTATCTAGATTATATCAGGCTTTTTAAGAGCTTTATAAATATATTTATTTTTTTTATATCTAAAAAAAATAACAGCCTACGTCTCTGTGTAGATTATGAAGAACTTAATAAGATTTTTATTAAGAATTATTATTTTTTATCTTTTATTTTAAAGATATTGTTGGCTGGAAACCAGGAATCCTTACTAACTAAAATAATCATCTCTTAACTACCCAACTCAGCTGAGAATCCCATACAAATTCTATGGGAATCCCAGCTAAGATGGATAACATAAAGATGAATCATCTTTTATATGAAGTCTCATATTATTGATATTATTATAATTATTCAATTCTTTATTTACTATTTTTTACCCCACTTGCTTGCCCCGTTTTCTTTATCTAATAATTAAACTAATAATTTATAATTCTAATCTAGAATTATTTATTAAAAATAATAAATAAGATTTTTTATCTTCTAGCTAAAGCAAGTAAGTAAGTTAAATTTATTTACTTCCTA